GTCCCATTTTTGCGTTGCAACTGATGTCACCATATCCATTCTGGAAAATATTCGTACACGGTTTCCATTCCTTTCAGCTCTACTTTCGGCAACACTCATGAAAGACGCTGACGGCACTATCGTCTACAGAAATGAAAAACGAACATTATGTGATTTACCCATGTAAACTACTTTACAATGATTCCGTATTTGCAGCAATTAACATTTCGGAGACAAAAAGTCTACAAAAACATCATATAAAAAAATTACACTAAACATTTTGTTCTTTTCACTCGATCTAGAAACCAGGACTTCGATGAGAGCACTAAATTCATTGCCAATGTCGATAGAAGTAAGGAAATCCTCGTTTTCTAGCTGCAAGATGACAACATTTTGCGTAGCTCCTAAATCAAAAACTGTAGTGTGATGACAGGTTGAAAGCACTTAAACAGCATTAAACACCAAGTAAAAAAGTCCCTTTTCGAAAAAAGTTTTTTCGATATATATGGATTTCAAGAAAAAAATAAAATAAAAGTCCTTTCTTTCTTCAGCAAGTAAATCCGGTTTTAAGAGACCTAATTTTTGAACCTGATTTTCCCTTCCACTTTGTACGTCCATTAGACTGCCGCAAAAGGTTGTCGGCGGGATAACCAGGTTCTGACTCTGACGATGAGAGTACAAATTTTATTTTCCCAGTCGGCATTCAGAATTATAAGGCTGTCGAGTTTCGGCACAACGCCAGGTTACTGCAAATATATGGAATAAAAAGTCGACTGGCGAAATACTGCACTCCACGCACCCTGTTACACGCAAATAAACTTCAGTAACGTTTTCTTTCATTTGCTTCACTCGTTTCCATCCACCGGTTTGTAATTATCCAAACTTCCAGATCCCAAATCAGAGCAAACTTTTCACCCTTGGAGATGTCGGCTACGCTATGCTCCTTCTTGCTGCCCACACTCTTGAATAACTATATATCTTAATGAAGATTGTTGCGTGCTTTAAAGATAAAATTCTAAACCTCTTGCAGAATCGCAGTCAAGGTAGTCACAGAACGATTTATGAAAATCGATCAGTTTTTCCTCAAGTGGCAAAAGTTGCCATTTTATAAAGTCAAAATTAAGCAAGTGCATGTCTCGCAAATTCCTAGAAGTACGCTGCGATTGGGAGCTACACCATTAAATCTTCCTGGAATCACGAAGGTAAGTTTGAGCGACATTGTCCCACAGAAGAACGATGTTAATAATGCAAGATCCAAGAACCATTTATCATAAGCGCAGAAACATAGTTGCGCACCAGTAACAGGAACACGGAAGAACTAAGCTGACCTAAGAACTAATAAAATGACGAGATTTACCTTCCGATCAAGTAGTCCAAGCAGTTACAAAGTAACTCAATGGAAATAAGTCGGCCCATTCCAAAAAAGAGAAAAAAATCCTCTTTTTTTGACTTCAACATCTGACAGAGCACGTAATGACATTTTTAAAAGCGGTAAGTGGC